CTCGTAGTTATAAAGGATGGTAGCACAGCATTTTTGAATGATTGTCTTCATGAGTTTCTCTGCATCCATATTGCATGTTTACTCTCACTTGTAAAGTGTGCTTGTTATTTCTTCTAGTTCTTTCAAAGCAGTTCTTTCTGCGTTTCCGCTCACGTTTTTAAATCTATTTCATTGAGGTTCCAAATAATGGCTCATTGGCTTAGATATAACACCAGAAGCATATATTCTTAAGCACACATGCAAAGTATGTTGCAGCTATATTTCTATGAGATTCTGTTGTTTTTGCTATTCTGTTACTAATAAAATCTTTAAAAAAAAATTTTCACTGCTTGTCCTATTTTGGCACAATCCCTAAACTGAACTTGAGTAGTTTTACCAAGGGCACCCATCTCACATGAAATTGAACTATGTTAAACATATTCTACCTGCCTTCCTGATATAAATTACTATACATTTGATATGGTAATTAATTCTGAGACACTAATTTGGGCAAAGAGCACTAATGACTTGTTTAAGACTTGAAGCTAAAAGTTGAGGACTTGCAACTCGACTTGGACTTGCCTGTCTTGACTCGGGACTTGACTTGGGATTAATGCCATGAAAAAGGAAGTTGTTGTAACTCATGCATACAATGTCCAATCTGCCTCAAACTTCACATGTTTGATTAGAGTCCTGGCCTGAAGACATCTACATGCTCATATTCGGCTACAGTTATAGCGCCACCTATTGGCAACAGGAAGTGACATGTTTAACACTGCTGCACTATTAGCAACACAGTAGAATATGCCATTGTGTGCTAAACATGCTAGAAATATGCTCAAACATGCTAGCAACACTTACTAAGTGCTAAAGCATGCTATTAATACTATGAAAAAGGAAGTTGTTGTAACTCATGCATACAATGTCCAATCTGCCCAAAACTTCACACGTTTTATAAGAGTCCTGACCTGAACACATCTAAAGGCCAATATTCAGTTATAATTATAGCGCCACCTGCTGGCAACAGGAAATGACTTGTTTTACACTAACTTAAACATGCAATGTCTGATCTGCCCTAAACTTCACATGTTTGATAAGAGTCCTGACCTGAACACATCTAAAGGCCAATATTCAGTTATAATTATAGCGCCACCTGCTGGCAACAGGAAATGACTTGTTTTACACTAACTTAAACATGCAATGTCTGATCTGCCCTAAACTTCACATGTTTGATAAGAGTCCTGACCTGAACACATCTAAAGGCCAATATTCAGTTATAATTATAGCGCCACCTGCTGGCAACAGGAAATGACTTGTTTTACACTAACTTAAACATGCAATGTCTGATCTGCCCTAAACTTCACATGTTTGATAAGAGTCCTGACCTGAACACATCTAAAGGCCAATATTCAGTTATAATTATAGCGCCACCTGCTGGCAACAGGAAATGACTTGTTTTACACTAACTTAAACATGCAATGTCTGATCTGCCCTAAACTTCACATGTTTGATAAGAGTCCTGACCTGAACACATCTAAAGGCCAATATTCAGTTATAATTATAGCGCCACCTGCTGGCAACAGGAAATGACTTGTTTTACACTAACTTAAACATGCAATGTCTGATCTGCCCTAAACTTCACATGTTTGATAAGAGTCTTGGCCTTAACACATCTTAAGGCCAATATTTCAGTTATAATCATACCGTCACCTCCTGGCAACAGGAAATGACTTGTTTTACACTAACTTAAACATGCAATGTCCTATCTGCCCCAAACGTCACGTTTGATGAGTCCTGGCCTGAACTCCTCTTAAGGCCAATATTCATTTATAGTCATAGCACCACCTGCTGGCAACAGGAATTTACTTGTTTTACACTAACTTAAACAGGCAATGTCCGATCTGCCCCAAACTTCACGTTTGGTAAGGCTCCTGGCCTCAAGACATCTCCATGCCAATATTCAGTTATAATCTTAGCGCCACCTGTTGGCAGCAGGAAATTTGGAACAAATACTTTTAACCACTTTAAAAAAAAAAGCATATCGCTGGATGGTTTTCATTTTTGGGTGAACTATCCCTTTAACTACAGTGTAATCCACTGAACGCACTGTACTTCCTCACAATCTCATTTTCATTCCTGCCAAATATTCAATAAGGCACGACCCAAATGGTAATATTATTACTACTAGGCCTATTATTATTTATCTAACATACTATTTATTATATATTTGTATAATTACATTTACTAAAACGGTCTAAACGCATCAATTCACCAGGATGAATTACAATTTCCAAAGCTACATACGACAGCGGGTTCTATTTACAGTAGGATGAACTGATGCACTATATAGAATGAGTAAAAATTTCCAAACAGATGAGACAAGGATGATCGAACTGATGCACTAAAATAAATCGGACTTGCTAGAGCTACAGGAGAGGCCAAAGTGAGCGTGCAGGTGCCTCTGCTTGCTCGGCAGTGAAGTAACACATCTGTGATATTAAAAGCAGCGATTGTTGTCTTACACCGCTAATCATTGCGAGCAGTAGTTTGTTAATAAAAAAAATCTGTTTTGAAAGCAACTGAGCTACCCTCAAAGCGATATGTTGTGAGAGTGTCACCATCACTTGTTTGCTTTCCCAGCTAGAATTTTTTTGTTCTAAAAATGTTCTAAGAACATTACCCTGGATTGTTCTAGCAATGTTTTTAGCGGGTAGTTTTATTTGTTCCCAGA